GGCTCTTGGTGGCTGGGCCTCCACATACGGCCATCCAGGGGAGCGAGGTGGCTCTGGGCCTCCCCCGGTGTTTGTTATTCCATGTCAAAGCCCTATCATAAACATTATCCTAGAGTGGGCCACTGAGGCTCCAGTGAGGAGGGTTTGTTATTCTAAAACGGCCAGGAGAAGAAGGCATGGCAGCCTGGGAGTCTGCAAGCAGCGCCAGGCTTGGGAATTCAGGGGGAGTGAGAAGGAAGCTGAAATGAGGGCGAGGACTTCGTCCGTGCCTGTGCGCGGGGCCTCAGAGTCCCGCTGACCACTCTCCACTGTCACGGCCAGTTGGCAAATCCGCCTCTGGAGTAAGCTCCATCTGAGTGGAAACCAAGCCCAGTTAATCCACCAGCCCCAGATCCCCGCAGAGAATCAACAGAAGAGCAATGTTTGTTGAATGAATGAATGAGCATAGCTCTCCTATGTCTGTTGGAAGCAGCAAGAATGCTCGTGGAGGAGCACATATTACTTGGAAGTTCTGGCCATGGGAACCTGGTCTGGAGCCTGACAGATGTGATTTCAAACCCCAGCTTCTGTCCTTCACAGGCCGTGTGGCCTTGGGCCCGGGCCTCCCCTCTGCCTCTTTGGTTTCCCGTCTATGAGTAGGGCCACCATCCCCGCTGGCTCTCACCCAGGGAGAGCAGAAGGAGGCCCCAGTGGGCAGTGATCAACTGAGAGCCCGGGTTCCAGGGCCGGACTGCCGGATCTGAGGGCCTGTCCCACCCTCTCCACCTTTGTCACCCTCGGAGGGTTACTTCATGTCTCCTTGCTGCGGTTGTGTGTGTTTCCAATCTATTAAATGGAGCTAATACTAGACTGACTCAGAGTTGCTGTAAAGGTTAAACAAGTTAACGTGAGCTTAGCAGCCTCCTGACACTGTAAGTGCTCAACAAACGTAGTGAGCCTTGTAATAAATGGACAAGGACCACTTCGTAAAGTGAAAGGGGTGGGAGGGTACGAGGAGGCGGGAGGTGTGGGGAGAGGGCCCATGATTCCGGGTCGCCTGCTTCCTTCTGAAGGACTTCCTGCCGTCTGCTGTCCAACGGGGAACAGAGGCAGCCTCCCGGCCCTCACCGAGCTCTCGGTCCAGACGGGCAGGGATGGGAATTACCTGAAATGGACCCCTCAGGGGGATAAGTGCCAAGACCAAGGGAAGGACGGGGGTCTGTGGGAGGCACCAAACCCCACCCAGAGCTGGGGGCAGTCCAGGATGACGACAGGCTTAGGTTTCAGTCCCGACCCCGCAACACTCTGGCTGTGCCACACTGGGGCTGCCTCTTGAATGGTCTGGTCTCAGTTTTCTATCTATCTGTAACATGCTAATAGTAAATACTCCTGGCTATTTCTGGCTATTTCACAAGGCTCCAGAGAGAAAACGGGTGTGGCGAGATGTGGGGGATGAATGTGGAGCGTGCCAGTGGACATCCAGGAACCCTGCCCCAGACGTGATCCAGGGCACTGTAAAGGGTCCTGGGCTGGGGTCAGGAGACTTGGGTTTGAACCCACTTGGCCCCAGCTAACTGTGTGACCTTGGGAAAGCCCCATCCTGGCTGCTCTGGTCCCCTGTCTCCTCTTCTCTTCTATAAGGCATAGGATGAGATCAGCGGTTCTCAAACTGAGCTCCAGGACACCCATGGGTTCCACAGATAAGCCTTGGGAGTCCCTGCTGCAGGGGGGCATTGAGCCAGCAGGACTTCAGGCTCCAGCCCGCCTCCCTTACATCAGTGAGGGAGGTTTCTGTTTTTATCTGCTCCACATTTTGAGTTCCAAGTAAGGTTCCTCTGGAAAATAATAACAACAGAAAAGGAGTCCGTGGCTAAAAAGAGCTTTGAAAAACCACAGGACCAGATGACCTCCTGGGGCCTGTCCAGCTCCAAACGGGAAGGTTCAGCTCTCACTATTTTCTTCCAAGCTTTATCCAGCAAGCACTTCTCCAGCACGTGCTACATGCCACGACTGTTCTTTGCACCATGCAAAGTGTAACGTGCCTCAGTTGCAGGACCCTCCCAGCTCCGCGAGAGCCGCATGCCGCGTGACTGTGGGAGGGACTCTGTGTGTGTAGGAAGGTCCAGGGGAGCCATTTCTCCTCCAGGCAGGTCTTCTGGGTGCCTGAGCCGATGACCTCACTACAAGCCAGGTGATGCCGGGCCGAGCCGCCTGCACTGAGAAGCCACGGGGCAGATGTGTGCAGCGATGGGTGTGGTCACAGGAAGCCTGTGCGTCCCAGCCCCCCAGAGGAGGAAAGCGGTCCAGCTCGACACGGCCGGTTTCATCCGAGGCATGTGCCGCGTAGGAGGAAATGCATGTTGCCTTAGCAGTGTCCACAGCAACAGGGCCACTGCCTCCTGTGATCCATCCCCCGCCACCGGGCTGCCATCGACACCCTGCACCAGGTGGCTGCAGATTGGATTTCAGGGGTGGCAGCCAGAGCCTGGAGAAGCCCCAGAGGTGGGGCGGTGGGATCTGACCTCATCTCCAGGCAGCTTGTTACTGGGGGCAGCGGGGGTTGCCGCATCCCAGCGCAATTCAGCTCTCCTGCCTGGCCAGAAACAAAAGCGGGCGGGGATGGGTGGAGGAGCTCGCACAAGCACGAGCTTGGCTCCATTGCCCATGACACTCTTTAGGCCAGACTTTGTATGCCTTTTGCATGAGCTTTTCTCTTCGGATTATGTGTTCTTGAACCCCATGGCTGATGTCACTGGTGGGAACTTCTGCCACGTGGTGGCGGCATGCTCCAAATGCAGAGTGCCAAAGTTCCAGGGGCTAGCCTGCAGGGCTTAACGAGCCGCCTTGAACTATGAAGTGACCACAGCAAGTGTCAAAGTGCCAAGGAAAGGATGGCCTCAAACCCTCTCTTGACTGGGCCCGTGTTGAATGCTGCAAATACAAAAATGAATAAGATAAAATTCCTGTCTTCAGAAAGCTCATAGCCTAATGGCAGAGACAGGTAGCTACAGAGCAGATATAAGCCAGTGTTCCCGCCATGATGGAGGGGAGCATGGTGGGTCACGTATCTGTCACCACGACTGTGCTGTGTAGTGACAGCCGGGAGAATCTGCCGGGGTGTTGGAACGATGGCAGGTAGGCTCGGCTGGGCTGCCTCGAGTGTCTGGGAGCCCACTGGTTGTTGGCTGGTCCGGGATGGCCTCGGGGGGACAACTGAAGCAGTTTGGTCTGCCCTGGCCTGGGCTGCTCTCAGGGCCATGGTGGAGGTGCAAGGGGCAGCCGCTGCCCACCGGGGCTTTTTCAGGCCTCGTTTGTAATGGTTGCCAACATCCCATTGGCTATAAAGCAAGTCCAGAGGCAGAATGGGAGGGGGCTACAGAGTTCCATGGCCAAGAGCATGAATATAGGAAGGGATAAAGATTTGGGGCCGTTACTATATCAATCTACCACACAGGGAGACCATGGGACACCTGGGGAGGGGCCCCACCCAGCCCCCTGATGATCAGAGAAATCCCATGGAGAAGACATCTGAGCAGAGCCTGGAAGGCCAAGTCTGAATTTGCAAGTGGAGAACGGAGACAAGGGCCTTTCCATGTACAGGGAACAGCATGTACGAGGCGCAGAGACAGAATGCGGCTGAGTAGTTGAGCATTTGGAGACATGAAGGCTGGGTAGGACACAAGGTCACTGACCACAGCAGGGTCCAGGTCACTGCCTTGCAGGCTCCACTGAGGAGCTAGGCCTTCATCCTGAGGGCAGGAGGCACCCAGGATATTTTTGAGCAAAAAAGAGAGAGAAACCATCCAATTCGTGCTTTTAAAAAATGTGGCAGAAGAATATGGAAGAAGTGGGAGGTGAGGGGGTCTGCAGGGAGGGGGTGAGAGGGACTGTTGCAGTGGACTGAGTGGGAGATGCTCAGGCCTGAATTGGTGTGGACCAACAGGCTGGGGGGCTGCCATCCAAAACAGTGTGCCAACAGAAGGAACAGAGCCCGAGGACTGATGGACAGGCTATGGCTGGGGAAACAGGAGGGACAGGTGACCTGAACCACCTCCTGACATTTTGCACAAGAATTGCAACAAATTTTTCCCTATATCTGTGCTAAATAAGCTAAAGAATGGTCAGGTGCCTCCCTTTTGTTGGCCAAGGGAGTCTGGGGTACAGCCACGTGAAGCCAGCTCCAGTCCCAGCTGTGTGGAATTGAACAAGTCCCCTCATGGGCCTCATCTAAAAAAGAGTTTCCCCATCTAAAATGGGGCATTTGGAATCATTTCCCAGGGCCCTTGCACCTCACGGGCAGGCCATGGTCCTTAGAGTCTGGTCCTCAAATGACAGAAGCAATTGCTCTGTAAGGAAGTTCCCCAGAAGCCAGTGAAAAATACGGATCCTGGGCCCCACCTCAGAGAGTCCGACTCCCGGGCTGGGACCTGGGTATCTGAGCTTTGTAGAGCGCTGCCAGTGGTCCTGATGCCTGGCAGGTCCAGCCGGGGCGCAGCTGTGTCCCCTGGCCCGACATGGTGGCCCAGAGCACAGAGGGGCTTGAGAAACGTGCTGAATACCAGCACGGGTCTGAGCCGGAGGGTCCAGGCCCCAAGCCCTTACCTGGAGTGAGGACAGCATCTGGAGCAGGTGGTGTTGGACTTGGGCCTCGGCATCTAGGTGGGCTTACTGCTTGTCTTGCTCATTTGTTTGGGCATGCTCTTGATTACAAAACGAATCTGTGCTCATTCTAGAATTTTTCTAAGCACCGGAAAAGAAAGGAATCAAAAGAAAAACTCACCCATCATTCCAAACCCAGACAGAACCAGGGTTCTTGTTCTGCCGCGTTATTAGACAAGATGTTGAGACCCGGGGCAGGAGTGGGAACTGTGTGGGCAATTGCTGGAGATGAGAACAGACTGAACATGTTCAGAAGCCAGTGAGTCCTTCTCTGTCTTAGGGCCTGGTGCCCTCAATCCAGAGAGACCTCCGCCAGGTCCCTGAGCACAGCCCTTATTCCTGTCTCTTTCCGCCCCCGCCAGGTGCTGTTTGCCCTGAACCAGACCCTGCTGCAGCATGAGAGCGTGCGGGCCGGCAGCCTGCAGGCGCCCTACACCACCGAGGACCTCATCAAGCATTACAACTGCGGGGACCTCAACGCCGTCATCTTCAACCACGACACATCCCAGGTGAGGCTCCCTCCTCCGGCCCATGCAGCCTCTAGGTCGCCAGTTCCAAAGGCCAGGCCCATAGGAACCCGCCTGGTGTTTATTAGACACCTGCTGTGTGCCAGGCGCAGGCAATCTTCTTGCCAGTCATGGTAATCAGGAGCTATTTGTATCCCATTTTACATATGGGGAAACTGAGGCCGAGAGAGGAAGAGACTTGCCCAAGGCCACAGCACTTATTAGTTGTTGAGTTACCAAGTTATCAAGAGTAGCCCTTGAGCCTGGTGTGCGCGGCTCTGGGGCCTCGACCCTGGAAGCTTAGCCTGGAAGAACAGGAGGCCTCTTAGAGGCTCAGTTCAGCATCTGGGGAATTAGTGCCTGGGGACGGGAAGCCCACAGGTGCTCGGAGCTTGGGCCCAAGTGCAGCCAGGGGCATCTGCCATGGTTCAAGTCCTGGAGGACATGTCACCCCCCAGGCTGGGCAGACAGCCAGCAGGACCCCGAGGAGCGCAGCTCCACCAGCCTCCCCATTGCCGTCGGGGTCAGTTCCAAGACTCTTGGTCCAGCATTCGAGGCCATCGTGTCCTGCCCACCACTGGCCTTGTCACAGCCTGGGTCCCCCACCACACAGACCTTGTGCCACTTGCAGCTTGCTCTTCCTTCCACTGGGCCTTTGTTCAGGCTCCTCCCGCCCTGACACCCAGGATGGAGTTAGGTGTCCTCCCAGCTCCTCTGCGCCCCCTGTGCTTTCTGTGTCATGGAGCTTGAATATCCATTCATTCAAGACGCAGATGAATTCATCCAAACAGGCCACTTCCCTGCTCAGGACACTGCAGTGGCTCCTCATTTTCTCAGGGGAAAAGTGGGCATCCCCTGTGTGGCCCCATGTCTCCCCCCAACCATGTCCTTCTGCCCTCCTCCCACACCTGCCACTCCAGCTGCACGGACCTCCTTGCTGATCCATGAGCCCACTTGGTACACTGCTCCTTTGCACTGGCTGTTCCTTTCGCCAGGATCACCCTTCCCCAGATATCACCACGGCTATTTCTTCTCTGGCCTTTCTAAATCGGCCCCGCTACCGCATCTAGAATTGCAGCCTGACCCCACGCCCTCACTCTCTCCCCTTTGTTGTGCCCCACTTTTCCCCGGGGCCTGTATCATCGTCTTGCACTCTTATGTATCCTGATTCATTGATCAGTGATTAGTTACTGTCTGTCCTTCCCCACTGGAAGTTTTATTCATCTGTTTTCTTAAATCATTACATCCCAATTGGCTAGTGCAGTGCCTGGCACAGAGGAGGACTCAGTAAATATTTGCTGAATGAATGAACAAAATAGTTTATAAGTTCCAGGCACACTGCTATGAAAATGGATACAAGGGGGAGCAGAGAGAGCTGCCCCTGTGGGGCTGACAGTCTCGCAGGAGAGATGGGGGGCTTCCACAATCAGTTGTACCGACGTGTGATCCTTGCTGTGCGAGACAGTAGAGGATGCACTTGGAGCTGTGGCAGGAGCAGGAACTTAGATGGGCCTGGGGGCTGGGGCTGGGGAGAGAAGGAAAGATTCCTGCCAGATGAGAGGTCAGAGAAGATCCTGAACTGGCCATAGACGGGAGGAGGAAGAATGTTCCAGCAAAGAAGCTGCGTGCGAATAAGCCGGAGGCAAGAGAGATCAGGAGGAGGGTGAGAGTTTGTGCTGGAAGCAGAGCCAAGGACCAGCCGCCACCACACTAGACCCAGAGCGCCTAGAGGGCGAGCATGATGCTCATCTCTGGGTCCCGTACCCAGCTCAGCACACGGAGCGAGCATCAGCGAGCGACTGTCGCGTGAGCGAATGTAGGTGTGTGTTGTGCTCTGTGCATTGTAGACAGTGGAAGAGGAAGGCCCCCGAGACCCTGCCGCAGGAGGCTCGGGACTCTGGGAGCTGTGACTCTGGGCGGTGGAGGAGAGAGGGAGAAGAACTCTAGCACCAGGAGGCTCATAGGCGGTTCTCCTGGGATGCGCCTTGTGACAGAGCCCTGCCCTGCATCATCCTCTGGGGGACAGGCTGGTGAGCTCTGTGGCAGAGGGGGACCTGGTCACCCCTCGGGATGGCCTGACCATGATGTGGCTGGGTCGCGGGGAGGGGTGTGCAGGACGGGGCCCTGGCCAGGCTGTGGTTGACACTGAGCTGAGAGAGGGAGGGATGGGGTGACGTCAGGGCGTGGCAAGCTCAGATTTCCTGTGAGCCTGTGTCCAGAACCACTGATTTGTCTCTGGCAGGTTAACTGTATTGGGGGTCTTCTGGCAGTGGCTTTACTTGAGGTGGGATGGAGTGGATTTGTCCACCCAGATTAGAATAGCAACCCAGTCTGCACCCATGGGGGCACGGACAGAGTCGAGCCCTCAAGGTTGGGGTAGGGGGGCAGCCCTGCCTCCAGCCACAGAGAAGCCTAGAGTCAGGGTAGCAAGGCTGAATCCAGGGCCCACGTGCTGGAGAGGGGGGTCCAGGTGACGTGGGGCTGCGTCTGCAGCTGGAAGCCTCTAAGTCTGCAGGGGGCCAAGGACGCAGGGGCTGTAGGGGCACAGTTGGAAGGCCTCAGGGAGAAGGTGGCATTGGAGCTAGGCTTGACAGTGGAGTCCACCAGGAGGGGAGGAAGTGAGCAGCTGGCAGGCAGAGCAAGCTGTGCTGGTGGGGGTGGGAGGACGTGGGAGGTCCCGGGGAATGATTTGCAGAGCGGCGGGCATATCATGCAGGGGTGAGAAAGCCCTGGAATGTTCAAGCCAGAGGATGATGTGTTGAGAAAGATGCCCCTGGCTGCAGCACAGAGAAGGATGAAGCAGCCTCTGGAGGCCTGGGTGGGACAGGTGCAGGGCCCAGGATGATAACACTGAGGGCCAGGTGCCGAGTGCACCTCCCCCGTGGTCTGCCTTGCCTCCACACTCCACCAGCCCACCTTCAGAAATGCCTAGGCCCGGCCTCCCGCAGCTCCCAGGTCTCTTGCACTGTCGTTGTCTCCAAATCAACAGGGTGATGCAAAGCTCCCCGCCCTGGGAAGCCTTGTCTGAGCCCCCAGCCTGGGTTAGGTGTGGAGAAGCCATGCTTATCATCCATCCGCAGACACTTGAGAGCGAGAGCTTGAATATAATTAAGAGTCAGAATAACTGCCAGGCATGGAGGAGTTCACCCTAGCCACGACCGTGGACTGTCCTGGACAAAGCAAGACACATGGTCACCCTATTAAATGCCCACTCCCACATCGCTTGGCACCCTCTCAAAGCCTGGATCCCACGGTGCCCTGGCTCCCTTCCCCCGCCGGGCTGTGAGACTCATCCAGGGCGGCACACCCAGTCTGAGCCCCCTAGCTCTCACAGCTGGACACAGGGCCAGGCCCATGGAAGTTCTCTGAAGATGTCTGTTGGATGGACAGTGTGAAGAGGAGGGATGAAGACGCTGAGATCGCTGATATCAGCAGATCTGAGTACTTGACTGCCGGGTCTGACTCGGTCGTGGTCGGGGTGCCTACACTGAAGTCATCTCCCACGGCCCCACTCCAGCTTTGCTCAGCCCATCTTTTCATCACCCCATCTCGGACCCATCACTCTAGGGCCCTGGGGACCTGATGTGTCCTCTTTAAAATGTTACCGTGCCTCCTGCACTTAAGCTTATTGCAAGAGATTCAAGGCTCCCAACAAGTCTAATGGCATCATTAATTTGCTTCCAGCCCAGCCCAGGCCCAGACCCAAGCCCCATCCTTGGCACGGAGCCAGGGCCCATCAGCATGAAACATGCAGAGAATGTCAGCCAGCCGCTGGGCAGCCCAGGGAACCGAGCATCTAGTCCAACTTCTTTGTGGCCTTGACATTGAATTTTCTGGTTCTTGTCCGTGTTACCTTTTTTTTTTAGCTCCCTGAGGAATGAATGGAGATTAATATTTCCACAATTGCACACTCATGGTCGAGGAATGGAGGCGGGAGGGCTGGCCATGTCCACAGGTCTAGGGAGAAGGCCTCTGCTTGGACCCTCGGCAGAAGGGGAGGGAAGCAGAATTTGGCCTTCTTGGCTGACGGTTCTGAAGGCCATCTCTTTGTCATCTGTGTCTCTACGCCCTGCCCAAGGTCAACTTGTACTGTAGCCTCTGCCATCATAGAGGAGAGGTGACAAAGACAGCTCCACCCTACAGGCTAGTTGCACAAAACTGACATTTAGTCAAGGCTTCCTTTGTGCCACACACTGTGCTGAGACCTGTCCCAAACTCATCTCGTTTAATTCCTTCAACAACATGTATTACCCCCGTGTTACCCATTTGGAAACTGAGGCTCAGAGAGGCCAGGTAACTTGCTGGTTATAGAGACACTCAGCTGGCAAGCGGAAACGCGGGACTCAGGCTGTGCTGGCGGCCTGCCTGCGGGACTCGCGTTCATGGCCAGCACAGCTTTCCTGCCCCCCAGCTCGTCCATTCATCCACCGTTCACGGATGGAACAAATATTTATTTGTTGGTACAACATTGTCCCACGATCTCTTCCATATGCAGGTGCTGGAAAGAGCCTATGAGGGCCGTGTTTGCAGAAATAAGCCTTCTGAGTCACAGCCTCCCTTGTGCTCCTCCATCACTCAGAAGCCTGTGGGTTTTCCTACAGTTGCCTCAAGTCCTGTTTCGTGGCCTGCTTTGTCAGGGCTGCCCATCATCCCTTCCACAGTTGGGGAGGGAGCAAGAACTCCATTCCTGCATTTATCCATTTGCCAAACAGTCCTCAGACACCGACTCTATGCTCACCCTGTTGGGCACTGGCGTGGCTGCTGCAAACAGCTGTGCAGGTTGTGCGCTGCACAAATTTAGAGTACACCAGTCATATCGTCGTCTTGTTCATCTCAGAGTGGTGAATCTGGCCTTTCTGGCAGAGAAGCCCCTCCTCCTTCCTCTGGGGAATGCATGGGCTCTTGGTCAGGAGACAGCAGTGGCAGGTGTCCCGGCCTCCCCTGAGTCCCTCAGGTTCAGCCTCCTGATGCCCCCATTTTCTCAGAAAGAATGTTGATAACTCATCAGTAGCTCTAGAAGCCATGCGGCTGGGCTACATGACCCTTGGGAGCCAAAAGCTGTAGGAAATTAGTCTCTTAAGCCAGACTCTGCCTCGAGCCAGCCCATCAGCCCCCTCGGCCTCATGTCTTGTGCTTTGTGCCTGAGTTGGTGAAGCCAGAAATAGAAGAGGCGACACCAGGTAGCGGACACCCTGTGAGCAGGAGCTTGGAGGTCGGAATGACACTGACAGGTTGTAGGGAAAGAGAGGGCCTGTCCTGACTCTGCCTCAGGCTCCTCAGTGGCCCATGGCTTCCTCTCAGGCCCCACCCACATGTTGGAGGCCGTGGTACTGGAACACCTGGACCCACCGGCCAGGTTGGTAAGACCTGTTGGGACTAGAAGAACAGGAGGCCATGTGGCAAGGAAGGACAGCACCACTTTATGCTCCAGGTTCCAGAAGCCTTTACTGGGCACCTACTTTGTACCAGGCATTGGGGGCCCAGGAGTCAAAAGGCTCTGACCCTGAACTCAGGGAGCTGTCTGCCTAGTTCAAGAATGTGTCAGTGATGTTGGTCCCAGGCCACACGGCTGAGTAGGGACAGTGGGTCCAGAGCTGAGAAATCTGGGCAGTTCCATGCCAGGTTGTTGAAGAAGCCACATTATGGGAAGAAGCCAAGTTTTTAAGGAGGGACGGAGGGGTTTGGGTGTGTCCTGGGAAGTGGTGGAGCTGTGGATGGGGAGATAGTGGTGGCAACAGAAGGTAGCCAACCAGGGCTCATACCTTGGGAAGGCCAAAGGCTATGGCCCCTTCTCTCACGTTGTAGGATAGGTGGGCTGACTGCAGCCCGTGACAGCGCCCTTCATCACATGCAATCCTACACGGTATTGTCAGCCCCAGCTTACAAATGAGGAAACTGGGACCCAGAAAAGTTAAGTAACTTGGCCAGAGTCCCCCAGTGTCAGCACAGGGCCTGCAGCCCAGGTCAACCTGGTCTCGTACCCGTGGCCATTCTGCTACACCGGGCAGCTCAGCTGACCCTCCACACCTGCTTGCAGAACCGAATTCCTTGCACGTGTCTGTGCCAGCCTCGGTGCTGGAGTGAGATCGGGGAACGAGCTGAGCGCATTCCCCACACCAGGACCTCAGGGGCTGGAAGCGGAGGCGCAGCGAGGCAGACACAGGAGTGGTGCACGAGGGAGTGCGGCAATCCCGGGCCCTCCTCTGGGCTCTGCCACTTCACTAGCTGTGTGACTCTGCACCTGTCTCTGGATCTTTCCACTCTTGCCCTCTTCATTTGTAAAACTGGAATAACAGCACTCGTTTCAAAGGGTTTTGGAATTGATGAAGAACATATACGAAACATCTAACCCATGGCAGGGACTCATGAAGGTAAGTTGCCCAGCCCCACACTGGGCTGTGTGTTTATTTGAAGCCCACCTTGCTCCAGAGAGAACTAAAGGCAGCCTCTGTCTTGCCTTTACAGCTGCCCAACTTTATCAACACCACCCTCCCCCCGCACGAGCAGGTGACGGCCCAGGAAATCGACAGCTACTTCCGCCAGGAGCTCATCTACAAGAGGAACGAGCGGATGGGGAAGAGGGTCATGGCGCTCCTGCGGGAGAACGAAGACAAGATCTGCTTCTTTGCCTTCGGAGCAGGTTTGGGTCAGAGTGGGGAAGGGACTACCTGCAGAATCCGGGGGCTGGGAGATGGCCTCTCCTGACCTCTGCTTCATAAAGGGAAAAGTTGAGGCCCAGAGAGGAGCAGGAAAAGCCTCACAGCCCTCAGCAGAGCTGGATGCAAAGCAGTTCTCCTGCCTCTGGTCAAGGGCTCTTTTGTGACATTCCCTGTGGGCAAGAGGAGTGACCCTTGCCAAAACTAGGACTTCTGCGGCCCCTTTATGCCCCAGAAGCCATACCGAGAGCCCAGAACTGAAGACAATTCCCACTGCCCAGCCCATCCTTGGCCCACCCAGTGGAGCCAGGCCTAGACTCTGAGGGCCATGCGGCTCTCCTGGTGGGGCTCCGGTATCCCCCTGTCCTGGTCCAGATCCCAGCCCAGCCCCCGCCAGGCTGCATGACCTCAAAGGCTCGCATCCCTCTTCCGTGAATGGGCAGTGATAGCGATAACTATTTGATGAATTGAAAAGACCTATCTTGTAGAACAGTTGCAAAAATTAGTAATAACATTTAAATAACCTGCCATGTAGTAGGAACTCAAAATGGCAGTACCATCATCATCATCATCCTGACAATTAATATGAGTTTCATCATCCCAATGTGGCCATGAACTTGATGCTTCTTCTGGGGCTCTGGCCTCTTCGTGTGAAGGAAGTCCAGATGTCCAGGTGCACAGGTGATCACTGTCTCTCTCCCTGTTCCTTCTCCACTCTCTTTCTCTTCTCCCTCACTCTTTCCTCCTTTCTCTATGGTTGTCTCTGCTGATGACAGCCATGTCCCACTTTGGGACCAAGCTATTGCACTTGCCTCCTTTATCAGTCAGCTTTTGCTCCCGAGCTACAATGACAAACATTTATTTCTTGCTCGTGTTACTGCAATTTGGGTTGACCGAATTCATCTCCTATTTTGTGAAAATTAGACGAGGTGCTCAGCCCACACCTGGTGAGGACTCACTGCCCTCTCTCCCTCCTTTCCTTGTCCCGTTACCCACACACTGCCTGCCTGGGGTCAGGCCAAGCTGGATCAAGTCAGCAGTCAGTCTAACCTAGAAGAGTCCTATTTCCTAATGGTGCATGCCCACTGTTTGAGGTCTGCCTCCCCTGGGCATTCACTCCCCACCATTCAACCCCAAATACCTCAAGGGCCGGAGCCAGGGTACGTCTGTCTGCACCTGCCTTCCCTCCTCTGCAGCCCTCAGCACGGGAGAAGCTCATGGAGGGCCCTCTTTAGAGCCATACCTGGGGCTGGATGGAAAGAGCTCTGGGCTCACATTGGAGCTGTGTCACAGCCTGTTGTGGCCTCTGGCAAGCCCGTTCCCCCCTCCCAGCCTCAGTTTACTCGTCTGAACAGAAGGAGCTGGAACTCACTTGGGCCATCTGTGATTCCAGGAGCTATTCACAGTTTTCAGAGAAGGGAGGGATTCCTATAGGGGGGCCTGGAGGAGCCCGCAGGACCTTCGCTGACCACATGGAGAGGGCAAGGTCACTCTCCAGCTGCAGGACACCTGCTGGGGGCCTGGCACGAGTCAGGACAGCTTGTGGGGACTGTGCAGGGAAGGAAGTGCTTCCCCACACACCCTCGCCCTCTCCCTCCCCATCCAACTGCCTCCCCAGCCCTCGCTCCTGTGGGCATCTGGGCAGTGCATTGTGCCCTGGAACAGCTCCGAGCTGATACAGAAGAGGAGCTGCTCTGAGCTCAACTAGTCCCCAGGCTCCTCTCAGGCCTAGGAGGAGCCCCTGGTGAGCCCAGTCATTGAGGGAGGCCACGTGGGCCAGCCTTCCTGCCCCACCTGCCCCAGGCCGTGGGACCAGAGTCACCCAGGCTCCGGGGGTAGCTAATACCAGCTCTTTCCTGTGGGCGAGGAAGCAGGAGAGCCTGGAGATGAAAGTCACCGCTGTGTGGGCAGCCCTGGACACTGACCTCCTTTTCCTGAAACTCCAGGTCCATGGGGGCACAAAGTTCACTCAGGCCAGCACGCAGGCATCATGACCAACTCCAGTTTCTTCCCCATCTCTGAAATCCACCTGGTCCCTGGTCCATCTTATTGACAGACCACCAAAAAGACCTCACAGCTGTCTACTCTGTCCATCCCCACTGCCACTGTCCCGGTCCAAGCCTCCACCAGCTCCTGCCTCCCCATCCTCTCCCCGCCCCTGGGCTGCTTCCCACACTGTAGCCGATGAATGGTGCTGGGTCTGTCTCCCACCCCCACCCTGAGCTCTGGGAGGGCAGGAACCATTTAACCATCCCTGTGTTTTTAGTGGCATCTCATAGGTTTCAAGCTTGGTGAGTGTATGAAAGGATGAATGAGTGAAGGAGTGAACCAATGAATGAAAGTCGACCAGATCCTCCCCTCCTGGTCTCCTCCGGGTCTGGAGAGCCTAGGACAGGCCAGCAGTAAAGTCCAGGCACTGTGAGCCCCACCTCGGCTCTCAGAGACCTGCTCTCCACCAACAGGCCAGAGCCGTGTGCAGATCTTGCTGGCAGCTGCCGCTTCCAGCTGAGCCACACCTGGAACAAACAGCCCACTCGGTGCTGTACGTCTGCCCTCGACCTGAGAGTTTCACGGCTGGACGCAGCCTCCAAGCTTGAGCCTGCCCCCCTCATCATAGGCAGGGGCAGACTGACATCCACAGGGGCCAGGACACATGTGAAGCTCATGGCCTGTGGGGGACAGAGCCAGGACTGGACCCCAGGCTGTGGTCCAGGGGCTCTGTTCTCATGTGCAATCAAGAAGCCAGCTGAAGGGACCTGTGACGGTCAGTGTATTAGCATAAAACACGTCCTCCCACAATCCATGCAAGAGAAGTCCACACCTGCCTCGTTGTGTTCTTATGGCCACATCATTCAGAGTCCACATCCTAGGGCAGGCGGAGAAGTCAGGTGTGAGTCCAGGCCAAGCGTTCTCAGGCGGCATGCGACCTGCAGACACACCCACTCCACTCCTCACACTCTTGTCTGGCTGCCTCTGCAGTTCCGTTTCAGGCCTTCCCAGACCGTCAGGTGCTGAGGGCCTGAATCGGTCTGACTCTTCTTGTCCATCCCAGTCCGGTCCTCAGAAAAGGCCCAGGGACCCCCAGGCTGTAGGAGGGAGGGAGTGTCTCTGCCACTGGAAATAGGCCTAGCCCAGCCATCCCCCAGGCACCTGTCTGCTCGTGCAGAGCCCTCTCAGATCCACTTTCAATGGGTGTTTCCAGGAAATAGCTTGGAAACAGAAACATAATTATAAGACACTCCAGTCACCCCCAGCCCGGCCTTGCCAGGGGTCTCAGCCAGGCCCCTGCCGAGGTCCCATCGTTCTGCGTTCTATGACAGACCAGCCTCAGAGGCCAGCCTCAGGGTTCCTGGCTCTAGAGCTCTGGGGAGGGGCCATGCAAGCTAAGGAGAGAGAGAGAGAAGGCACCTCCCCCTGCACCACTGTCAGCTAAGAGAACCTGGCAAAGCCAGTTCACCTCCAAGGGCCTCAGTCTCTCATCTGTGAAATGGGCATAACACACTCGCCTCATTGGACTGTGCTAGATATGCTCATTTTAGATCATAGGGTTAGAAGTCTGTACGTGGTGGAGGGATCCTAGTAGTAAGGACCCCTCCTGTGCACCAGCCATCGTTCCAGGCACAGCTTACATTACCTTGGGTCTTCACAATAACACCACGAGATGGTTTTAATTATACTTGTTTTGCAGATGAAAACTGAGGCCCAGAGAGGAGAAATGGCTTCCTCAAGGCCATGCAGGCAGATCTTCTACTTGAATCCTGGCCTCTTGGGTCCCAGTCCTGGCCATTTCCCTTGCATGTGGTGCCCTTGCTGTATTCTTCCAGAGATGGTGGCGATTTTGTGGGCAGGGTGTCTTTTTAGCTAGTACAGCCCACGGAAGAGTCCTCCCCCTCGTGGCGGTGAGGTTTCCGTAGCGAGGCGCTGCTTGACCTCTTCCGGAGCTTACTCAACAGGTTCAGGAGCAGTGGGGTGTGGACATGCATGACAACTCTGAACAGGCCTGGGTGACATCTGGGAACCCAGATGGAAGCCCTGCCTCTCCAGGAAGTGGCTGTGGCCAGTGTGCAAACCCAGATGTTCTGGAATGAGCCAGGCCGCTGCCAGGGAGAGGCGTGCCGGCCCACGGGTTGGGAGGCCCGATTCCCGACTGCCAGGCTCATGCAGTTGGAAAGCTGAGGCTGAGGCGGCCCCAAAGATCTTATGTGGGTCCTTGGGTTCCCTCTGGTCTACAAATAACTAAGAAAAATGAGTATAAGGCGCTGAGTGTTTTATTAACTACGTTTGTTCAATTTACAGGCTTATCTTATATTCTGAAATTATCTCCTTTCTACTGTGTTTGAAGTTAAACATCTTTGGCTTTTTAAAAAAAATGATGGAGATACAGGGCAAATGGAGCTTTCAAAGCCCTTATCTGGCAAAATAAGAAGTTGGTAACTGTATTGCTCCTCTCCCCCACCCCCACCGTTTCTAAGATAGGAGAGAATGGGCGGGCTTAAAACATGACAGAAAGAATACAGTGGGAGGGATGAGGCTGACGATACAGGAGAGAGAGTAGAAAAAAAGAACCAGCCCAGGGTTCCAGGAAGGCAGAGCTCAGGTGGAAGCTTTGGCCTTGGGTGAAGAAGGGCACTTCCTCACCTATAATGGAGGGAGGCGGCGGCGGGCAGGTGATCCAGTGTGCAAAGGTGACCTGGTGGCATCTAATCAGAGCTCCACTCTATAAAGTGGGAAGTGAAGTCATCTGCAGAGAAAGAGGGGGAAGGTGGGAGGGTTCTTGATTTGAAGAGCGGAGAACATTTGACATAAATGCAAGAGAGACTGGCCACAAGAACAGACGTGGACGGGAAGTTAAATAGATTTCACCTCATAGCCAACTGTGATTGATTGGTAGTGGCTGCCTGGAGTATAGATGGATACTAAAGAATGATAAAACCCCATCAGAGCTCAGCAGAGAAGAGGTCCTGGTTGATTAGTGATGTCTGCT